TAATAAATCAACACAGAATTGGTGTCGTTAGCGGCTACACGCTGCAGGATTTACCGAGGAGGGACTGAGTGGTTTGACGGGCAATGAGGATAATCTGTCGACTAACTAACTAACCCAGTAAAGACGGGTGTAAGACAGGGATGTGTTATGTCATCTCTTCTCTTCAACCTTGTTATTGATTGGATACTAAAGAACATAGTAGACAGGACATTAAGAGGCATACGATGGACTCCATTCACCATGCTTGAGGACCTTGATTTTGCAGATGATATAGCACTTCTATCACATAAACATGAACATATACAAGAGAAAAGTAACAGACTAAACTGCACAGCAGAAATGGTGGGACTGAGAATAAAAAAAATAAATAAATAAATAAATAATAAAAAAAAAAAGCTAAGATCATGACAAACAGTCCAAACCAACAACCAGTGACCATAAGTAACCAATCACTTGAAAATGTAGAACATTTCACATATCTTGGCAGTGTGGTGTCCCTACTGGAAGGGACAGAGGAAGACATACAGTCACGTCTGAACAAAGCTAGAGCTGCTTTTGGAAGAATGAGGCAAATCTGGAAATCCAACAATTACTGCAGAGGAACGAAACTCCGACTCTACAAGAGCACCATTTTGCCAGTTCTTCGGCTATAAAAGCACATTTGGGCTGGAGAATCGACTAGAGAAAGAGAGACCTGTACGCGTGCCTTAAGAGCGACGTTTTGTAAAGTTCCTTCTTTTGATTGCGGCAGATTGGTTTGATTCATGTCTGTTTGCCTAAAGGTTTTGGGTTCGAATTAACATCGATACGGAATTTTATTGACTCCCATGTCGACCTGGCTTAAAGGGGTTCCAGAAATATTATGGGAAGTAGATGCGTTCGACGTTATGGTGATCGCCTTAGACATTGACTGTTGATCGGTATATCCAAACCTATGTCTTGTAGTGTACGATCTAGTGGGTCCTTTGTTTAGCCCTTTTTTTTTTTTTTAAATATTGACAATGAAAAAAAAAAAAAACCCACTGAAAGTCAGCTAACAAGTCAGTACAACAGATGTTATGTCTACTACCGGGGAGGCAAAAGCAAACTATGGCTTTTTAATACTGACTGAAAACAAAATACGGAAAGAAAGCTGACTATGCAACAGATGTTATGTCTGCTACCGAGCGAGCAAAAACAAACTATAGCTGTTTAATCTAACTGAAAACAAAACACGGAAAGTCAGCTGACAGTACAACAGATGTTATGTCTGCCACCGAGTGAGCAAAAACAAACTATAGCTGTTTAATCTAACTGAAAACAAAACACAGAAAGTCAGCTGACAGTACAACAGATGTTATAAAACAAACTATAGCTGTTTAATCTAACTGAAAACAAAACACAGAAAGTCAGCTGACAGTACAACAGATGTTATAAAACAAACTATAGCTGTTTAATCTAACTGAAAACAAAACACAGAAAGTCAGCTGACAGTACAACAGATGTTATAAAACAAACTATAGCTGTTTAATCTAACTGAAAACAAAACACAGAAAGTCAGCTGACAGTACAACAGATGTTATAAAAACAAACTATAGCTGTTTAATCTAACTGAAAACAAAACACAGAAAGTCAGCTGACAGTACAACAGATGTTATAAAACAAACTATAGCTGTTTAATCTAACTGAAAACAAAACACAGAAAGTCAGCTGACAGTACGATGTTATGTCTGCTACCGAGCGAGCAAAAACAAACTGTAGCTGTTTAATCTAACTGAAAACACAACGCAGAAAGTCAGCTGACAGTACCACAGATGTTATGTCTGCCACCGAGAGGGCAAAAACAAAAAGCAGCCTAGTCTGATCAGATAACACGAGGTAACACTGCCACCACAAGAACAAATAAACTATCTAAGGTCATTGATAACGATCGAGACCGGCACATAAAGATAACACAGCATAGGTCAAGCAAAGGCGGAATTAACACTCCCAGGATCATTTTGTGTAACATCAGTTTACTACCAACGCCATCAAGCTGATTTTGGAAAGTTGCATACAGCCCTAACCAAAACTTGGACGACTAATCCCATTTTTGATACGTGCTAGGACCCCCGACTGGCTAGCTTAGTTGGTTAAACCTGACTTTGCGGCGACCGGGTGACAAACTCCAAGTGGTTCGGGTTCACGCCCCGGGGGTAGGCAGAAATGCCACATTTCTCCCAGATTTACGGTCTCTATCATGGAATCAAGGCTGCAATATCCATAGTATCAAGCCTAAGGGTTAACAACTCATGGCTTCTGGATACAAAAGATACATGTTAGGATAGCTTTGTCTGCCAAGGCAAAATTCATCGGATCATTGCTAGTTGTTTTTCATTAATGATCGGTCTGTGCTAGGGATCGGGTTTTCGCCCTGCGACATTCTCGTTTTCAACATTTTGGTCCCTAAATAAACTTAGTTCAATAACCCTGGTTTATGGGAAAGTTCCCCTTGGTGCGCTTCTGGGGTATGGTTTATATAGCGGATTAACATCATGGCACAAGGGCAGTAATCCATAAGTGCTCTTTGTTCTACTTCTAACTTAAGCCTGAGTCCGAAGATTATCAGCATGAACTACGTAGCACTGGCGAGGATTCTGAAATACTTTGGGAGATTTTCAACTCCAAATTTCGCCCGGGCAGCGCCGTTCAAGTACTCTTTTCGATTTCCACCTGCCACACGGGCGTCCTATATTGGTATCTAGAAACGGGGGGGGGGGGGGAAATTAAAAGTCCACGTGAAAAAAATCCTTCACCAGGGCCTGAACCCGGAACCTCCAGCACTCGAGGCGAATGCTATGCATCGAGACCACTCAGCCTTTCGTAAAACTTGCTCGGCGGGCCATAGTTTAGCCACCCGCGATCTATGGCCATGCCCAGATGTTTGTGTAATCCCCGGTGACGGCTGGTATTTTTCCCACGTTGACTTCTAATAATTTCCCCTGGTCTCTGGGTAGTAATATCGGACACCATTGTGTATTGTGGAGCACGCAAAAAATCTCTTAACAGTTAGAGATGGAAAAAGAGTAGCCTAACGGCGCTACCCGGGCACAATTTGGAGTTAAAAACCTAGCCAAAGTTTTTCAGGATCCTCGCCGGTGCTACGGAGTTCGTGCACTGCGCTGAGGATCATCGGACTCAGGCTTGAGTCAGAAGTAGAGAGCACGTATGGGTTACTACCCTTGTGACATGGTGTTGATCCGTCGTCTACACGGCCAACAGATGCAGGGGTTTACTTGTGACGTCCTCTAACAATCTGCTACTAATTGCCTAACTTTTGTTAACACACTGCCTAACGTTTGTTAACACACTGCCTAACTTGTTTTAACACACTGCCTAACCTTTGTTAACACACTGTCTAACTTTTGTTAACACACTGCCTAACTTTTGTTAACACACTGCCTAACTTTTGTTAACACACTGCCTAACTTTTGTTAACACACTGCCTAACTTTTGTTAACACACTGCCCAACGTTTGTTAACACACTGCCCATTGTCTGTATGCCTGTGTATCGTGGACTCCAAATGGTTGAACATTAGAAGCCACAGAAATGTGATTGAAATGTAGATATGGTTCTTTTATTGCAAGATCCCTGTGTGTGTTCCGGGGCCCTATCAGAGGGGAAAACAAGAATAGACCCACTGCCTACCCACAAGCCTGTCGTAAGAGTCGACTAATTTGGAGCTTTCATTCTAAGTCGGAGTGTATCTGCCTGAGAGGCAAGGAACCAGCAGTCTGCACACAAATGAGTCTGATCTGTAACACGGATCCAAAAGCAACACTCAGGTTCTGGAACAGGACTACAGTCCAGAAGTGGATGAACAACCAGAACTTGCTGCAAGAGTTTACAGCTGGAGAACACGAAGAGGAGGAAGAAGAAGAAGAAGAAGAAGAAGAAAAATGCCAAGATACTGGAAGAGATGGAGGTGTGTCTCCTTTGTAGAATATGAACAGATTAGAAGACGCCGAGACGTGGTCCCTTGTTAGAATAAGAAAACACTAGGTGACATAGGTATTAGTTCTCTGGTAGAATGTTAACATATTGGAGGGCAGAGTGAGGTGATTCTTCATAGAATGTTAGCATGTTAGAACACAGTGTGGCTTGATTCCTTCAAAGAATGTTAACATATTAAAAGACATCGTGACATAGTTCCTTCATAGAATGTTAGCATATTAGAAGAAAATGTGATTTTGTTCCATCATAGAATGTTAACATATTAGAAGAAAGAGTGGCATGATTCAGTCATTTAATGGTAACATATTAGATGACAAAGTGATTTTGTTCCATGATAGAATGTTAACATATTAGAAGACAGAGAGACGTGATTCCGTCGTAGAATGTTAACAAATTAGAAGACACAGTGACCTGATTCCGTCGTAGAATGTTAACATATTAGAAGACACAGTGCCGTGATTCTGCCATAGAATGTTAACATATTAGAAGACAGAGTGACACGATTCCTTTATATGTTAACATATTTGAAGACAGAGTGGCGTGGTTTCTTCATGGAAGATTAACAAAAGAAGACAGTGCGACATGATTTCTCCAAAGAGTGTTAATATATTGGAAGAAAGACGTGGCTGCTTTGTAGAATGATAACTAATTAGATGACATAGCGATACGTTTGCGAGGCCTAGATCTGTGGCTGCTTTATTTTATGTGAACATTTTAAGACGCAAAAATATGCTTCCTAAATTACTTGTATTCTTTTTCGGAAATATTATAAAACTAATAACTAGCTCCAGAAAGCTGTTCAAAAACCTGTTGAATGTTAGAAAACGCTGGTTACTTGTGTGAGATAATGATATAAATGTCATTTACTTGTTAATTGTTGTAGAAAATGAGTAAGAAGTGGCTAAACGTCAGTTAGAATATGCTAATCTGGCTAGTTTAAGAAGGCTGATAGAGCTATTACGTTATATGAACGTAGATTGAAATAATGTACAGGGCTTTACAAAGTGTGTCTCTTTCTTTGGCCAGGCGAGAATGCTGCACAAAACAGGGATCACCTGCCTTTGGCTGACAATGAAGAATCTCTATACGCCAACCATATGGCCTTATATGAGGTAAGTCATATGTTTTACAGAAGAGCACCTTGGGGAAAATAGCTACGGGGGAGGGGGGAGGGGGAGGGTGTCAGTGTTATATAGATACAGCGGTAACAGAGCCAAAGGTCGGCCAATCAGAACACGGACCGCAGTATCAGTGACACTGACAAGTAACTTATACGAAGCCTACAGAAGGAAAATATGCAGTTAATTGCTCTCATTCAAATGTCAAAAACAGGATGCCTCAGTGTTACATAGAACCTGTTCTGCTGTATGGCAGCGAATCTTGGAATGTCAGTAAACAAATTAAGACGAATTTGGAAGCAACAGAGATGTGGTTTCTGAGACGAATGTTACGAATACCTTGGACGGCCAGAGTAACTAACAACGATTGCTTGAAAGAGGCTAATGAAAATATATCTCTATATACAACAATAAGAAAGAGACAAACACTGTTCTTTGGCCACATAATAAGAAGAGAGACATTGGAGAACACCGTGACAACTGGAAAGATCATTGGAAAAGGGGGTAGAGGCAGACCAAGAGAGATGAAACTGGATGGGCTGAAACGATTGCATAGAGGGATATCATCAAGAGAGCTGTTCCAGGCAACCAGGGATCGTGATCTGTGAAGACTCATGAGCGCCAACGCCAGTTGTCAGGGCACACGATGATGTTGATGAACAGGAGGACCCGTACCAAAAATCTATTCCTACCCTGACGCTGCCAGACATTACAGGAGCAGAGGAAAGAAAAGTCATTCAGTTATGTACTGTGGCCACTTTTACAGTATAACGCTCTTTCTGTGGAAGCGGGAAGGTATCAGTAATAACATATTTGTTATAAGGGGTGTTGAAATTGTCCGCCATATAATGTGCTATAAGTCTACAAAGATCCATCAGTGTGGGTATCGACCATCATTTCGTCCAACCAAAACGTTTCTTTCTTCCGTAGATAATATGAATTAATCAAGTAACAGAAAGTATTGTGAACGGCACTCATAGAAAGGAGTAGAAAGATAGAAGAACACACTAGACAACATAAAAATCGAAAGCTATAGTTACCGTGCCGGGAATTGAACCTGTCACCTCCAGACGGCGTCTGCGCCTCGCCATGAATACAAGTGCACCAAGATACATGGTCAACTAGGCACCTGTTCTCTAGTGTGTTCTTCTATCTTTCTACTTCTTTCTATGAGTGCCGTTCACAATACTTTCTGTTACTTGATTAATTCATAATATTTAACGGCCTCAAATGGTTCCCCCTCTGTTTATTTATAGGATTCCGTAGATAATACCATTCGGTGTTGAGTGCAAAAAGTTTCTCCGACAGACGTCAGCCAACACTTCATAATGCTTCACGATTTACTGTGGGGCACATCTTTGATGCTTTCACGTACTTCGTTTGTTTTCTTTAAATTTGTTCTACAAACAAAGGGTAGTGAGATTTTACAAACACCCCGTAGTTGTCGTGATGAAAAGATATAAAACCAAACGAAAAGTAGACCAGCGAGCTTCACAAAGTAACAAACGGAAATTGAACATTGCGGCAACTGAGCCCGTTACATAAATCAATTAAACCACACACACAGGCACGAGTACACAAAAATCACTTAACTGACGTATTCCCGATAGCAAACACGATATGCCACGAGTCTCAACTGAATCCTTGTCATTTTAAGCCTGTATTGATCATTATATCCTCGCCTCCTTCAGGATGATCTGACACACCAAGGCAAGATCTCGCAGATTCTCTCCCGCATCACCTCCTACCAGGCTGGTATCGCGCCCAACGTCAGCGATGTGGAGAAGGCCAAAGGAAAACCGGTAAGTCAGAGAGGCTGGTGTCTGCATGTCTGCTCTAGTTTCTTCTTCTTCTTCTTCTTCTTCTTCTTCTTCTTCTTCTTCTTCTTCTTCTGCTGCTGCTTTTTCTTTTTCTTCTTCTTCTTCTTCTTCTTCTTCTTCTTCTTCTTCTTCTTCTTCTTCTTCTTCTTCTTCTTCTTCTTCTTCTTCTTCTTCTTCTTCTTCTTCTTCTTCTTCTTCTTCTTCTTCTTCTTCTTCTTCTTCTTCTTCTTCTTCGCGTTCACGGCCTGTAAACTTCGGCGGGACATTCCGGCTGTTCATGTTCCTGAATATAAATGTTCTCATGTATCTCCGTTTTACAGATCTGGAGTATTTCTATGCAAACTGTTGGTTCCTTAAGCAGATGCGCTGTGACTTTCGAGATAATTTTCAGTCGCCTAATACAACATGCATATTAGGGACGCAGTTGGTCTGTTCTCTTCCCACGAAAGACCCTGTAAACCACACGGCGAATGGTCTAGTTTAATATCTGAGGGTTTGTCTTTTTTCATCCCCACTACCAGCTTCATCCAACACCCCACTCCCCTTTTACTGTGGCAGCTACGTCGCAGTTTAACCGCCCGGAGATTGAACAAATCTCAATGTGGATGGTAAGCCAGCAAAGCAAATCCAAGATGCTGCCTTGAACCGGCGCTGGAGCAAAGTTGTTGCTTGCTTTCTGTGATCGCTCTAGGTCAGTGGTTCTCAACCTTCCTAATGCCGCGACCCTTTAATACAGTTCTTCGTGTTGTGGCGACTCCCCAGCCTTAAAATTATTTTCGTTGCTACTTCATAACTTTAGTGAATATATATTTTTCGATGGTCTTGGGCGACCCGTGTGAAAGTCCCCTCCAATCGGTCGCGACCCACCGGTCAAGAACCGCTACTCTAGTTAGACTACGATATAGCCATTCGGCTTAGAGAGACGGAATCAAATAGGATAATACTTGATGTATTGAAGTCAGTAAGCTGTGTGTAGGTAATGTGGATGGGTAAGTTTAGGCGCATTGAGGGGTGGATAAAGGGACAGACACATAGATATATTGACAGGCTGACGGATTTGAATCGATGGAGGAATAAATAGGTTGGCTGCACACAGTGACACTTAAGGGAGCACGCATGCACACACTCATACACACTGATGTACACACACACGCCAGTTTTTCTATTAATTAATTAAGTTCATAATGTGAACGCTGTGGCGAAGCTGGTTTTGATTCTGGTATCTCGGCTTGAATAGACGCTCCTTTTTCGACAGCCACGCTCCTGACTCGACATCTACGCTTCTCACTCGACATCCACTCTCCTCACTCGACATCCGCGCCGGAAATCGCAGGCCATGTATCCCTCGCTAGATCAACACTCGGGGGACACACACAAAAATCGTTTTCTATTAAATCTGAATTGGAGATGAGACATAGAGAGCTGGCAAATGAAGTGTCGCCATGAACGATTCGATTCATTAACTGTTGCTGGTGGAGGACGCCCCGTGCATTAGCTGGGATATGGGAATCCTAGCTGACGACCCACATTACATCAATTGGGTCATTCCCGTAAGGACGCTGTCCCCGTCTTCTGCAGCTAGTGACATTACAGTGCCGGAGGAGGGAGGCGGGGGGAGCTGAGTGGTCTAAAGGTATGGCATCCGCCTCCAGTGCTGGAGGTCTAGGGTTCAATCCCCGGTAAAGGCTGGCATTTTTTTTTACTTAGACTTCTAGTAATTTTCTCTGGTCTCTGGGTAGTAAGACCAGACGCTCGTTTGTATCCTAGTGAACGTAAAAAAAAAAACTTTTGGGCGTTGAAAATCTAAAAGAAGTAACCTAACGGCGGTGCCCGGGCAAAATTTGGAGTTAAAAATCAACCCAAAATATTTCAGGATCCTCGCGGGGCAACATATTTCGTGCCCTGTGCTGAGATTCCTCAGACTCAGGCTTGAGTTAGAAGTAGAACGGAGCACTTATGTGTTATACACTTGTGCCATGATGCCATTTGTGGTTTGATTGTATGTCCGTCCCGCCTTTCCTCTTAGTGACGAGTGTCGGCCAGGTCTCTACGTCACTTCCTGTTACACCATTCTCTTTCGACGGTGATTTATGTGATGGCTCATCCCCATAGATTACTTGAGACAAGGTTGTGCTGGCACTGGATGTAAAAGAACTTCAGTTTCTGTGCTTCTTCTTCTTATAGTCCATTTCGTGTGGCGTTGATATTCATGATTGTCCACAACCTTCTGTTTCGTTTACTTTCAATCAGCTCTGACACAGATGATCCTCCGTGACATGATGTCAGACTGTCCAGCATCTTCTCTACCGGTCTCCATCTGCCTCTTTGCCCCTCCAACTTGCCCACGGTGTACTCCAGTTTTCTCCTTCCCAGAGAATGTAGATTGTGTCCTCCACTTGTGGACATACTCTTCTCTTCACGAGTCACTTTCTTCCAAGACATCTTCGTAACTTTTGCGGCGTCCGTGGTTTGTGATTTGCGAGTCCGACTCGTAATTCCAGCATACCCCGATTGAAACCCACAGCTGGCTGCGTGGATTTTTATCATGGTATGGGGCGTCACAGGTCGACCCATCCTTAAATGGGTACCAGGATGAATGTCATGGGGAAGTAAAGACGGACGGCGTAATGCTGACCACAATACCCACCTAGTACCGATTGGTCTTTAAAATATATGGCTGCTCTTCCCATATGCCCAATGCGCCTAAAGATGTGAAAGGGGATCTTTATTTTTACTTCGTTGCTCTTGTTATTTGCCCTGACATTTCTCGTCCTTTTCTTATCTATAAAAGCATATCTGCAACCATTCTAATTAATTTCCTCACTGGTCCTCCAAATGTCTGTGATTCGTTTCTGGGTTTAATCAGTTAAAATTATTACTTAGTTCATGTGTAGCTAGTTCATAAATAACAACTTCATCGGTCACTTCGGTGCCATCTTATGTAGTGTAGTAGGTCGACGAGCGGGTTCGAATCCATACGCTACGGATTTGGAACAACAGTTGACTTTGGCTCCTAGGTTGACCCATCCTAAAATTGGTACCAGTCAGTGGATTGGGAAGTAAAGGCGATCGACGTGTTGTTGACCACGTGAGTCTTCTCATGAACATTCTGGAATATATTTCTTATGAAATGTACCTTAGGAATGTATTAAATATGGGATATAGAAAGAGTCCTAATGGAATGACGAGCTAGCGGGAAATGTTGATACAACAGGGGAGATAACAGGTAAGAGATATGATGGCATTGAAAACCAAGGATCTGTCAGATTCTTCTTCTTATAGCGTCCCTTGACTGTAAACTACGGCGGAGAGTTCTGGTTGTTCGTCCAGTTCTGGAATTTAGTCTTATTCCACACCTGGAGTGTTGCCTGCACTTCCGTTTTACGTGTCTGGCTTACTTGTACGGTCGGTTGGTGTATAACACCTCTCAGGCAGATGCACTCCGACTTGGAAGGAAACTCCGCTGATGAGTGGCCATGTACGACGTGCTTGTTAGGGAGGTAGTGGGTCTGTTCTTGTTATCAGCCAAAATGTCGATTGAATAGTGGAGAGAAGGAGGGGAGAGAGGGAGGGGGAGAGGGAGAGAGAGAGGGAGGGAGGCAGTGGGTCTGTTCTTGTTATCAGCCAAAATGTCGATTGAATAGTGGAGAGTGGGGGAGACAGAGAGAGAGAGGGAGGCAGTGGGTCTGTTCTTGTTATCAGCCAAAATGTCGATTGAATAGTGGAGAGTGGGGGAGAGAGAGAGGGAGGGAGGCAGTGGGTCTGTTCTTGTTATCAGCCAAAATGTCGATTGAATAGTGGAGAGTGGGGGAGAGAGAGGGAGGGAGGCAGTGGGTCTGTTCTTGTTATCAGCGAACATGTCGATTGAATAGTGGAGAGTGGGGGAGAGAGAGGGAGGGAGGCAGTGGGTCTGTTCTTGTTATCAGCGAACATGTCGATTGAATAGTGGAGAGTGGGGGAGAGAGAGGGAGGGAGGCAGTGGGTCTGTTCTTGTTATCAGCCAAAATGTCGATTGAATAGTGGAGAAGTGGGGAGGAGAGAGAGGGAGGGAGGCAGTGGGTCTGTTCTTGTTATCAGCGAACATGTCGATTGAATAGTGGAGAGTGGGGGAGAGAGAGGGAGGGAGGCAGTGGGTCTGTTCTTGTTATCAGCCAAAATGTCGATTGAATAGTGGAGAGTGGGGGAGAGAGAGAGGGAGGGAGGCAGTGGGTCTGTTCTTGTTTTCAGCGAAAATGTCGATTGAATAGTGGAGAGTGGGGGAGAGAGAGGGGGGGGGGGAGGCAGTGGGTCTGTTCTTGTTATCAGCGAAAATGTCGACTGAATAGTGGAGAGTGGGGGAGAGAGAGGGAGGGAGGCAGTGGGTCTGTTCTTGTTACCAGCGAAAATGTCGATTGAATAGTGGAGAGTGGGGGAGAGAGAGGGAGGGAGGCAGTGGGTCTGTTCTTGTTATCAGCGAAAATGTCGATTGAATAGTGGAGAGTGGGGGAGAGAGAGGGAGGGAGGGAGAGAGAGGGAGTGAAAGAAGGAGCAGAGAGAGAGGGAAAGAGATGGAGGGAACGGGAGAGGGAGGGAGGGAGGGAGAGAGAGAGAGGAAGAGAGGGAGAAGATGGAGAGAGAAGGAGGGGAGGGAGAGAGAAGGAGTGGAGAGAGGGAGGGAGAGAGAGAGGGAGGGGAGGGAGAGAGAGAGAGAGTGAGGGGAGAAGGAGCGGAGGGAGAGGGAGGGAGAGGGAGGGAGGGAGTGGGTCTGTTCTTTTTATCAGCCAAAATGTTACCTCGGAACCTGCACGGGGAATGTCGATTGAATAGTGGAGAGTGAGGGAGAGAGAGGGGAAAGAGGAGAAGGGGGAGAGAGAGAAGGAGCGGAGAGAGAGGGAGGGACAGAGATGGAGGGAACGGAAGGGGGAGGGAGAGAGAATGAGGGGGAAGGAGGGAGGGAAGCGAGAGAGAGAGAGAGAGAGATCTAATTTCAGCCAGCCTACACT